TTTAATATTTTTTTTTGTCTCTTCCTAAAATATGAGAAAGTGCTAGAGCTGCTGAGAGGGTAAGTTTTATTGTTAAGCTTTATGATGAGAAAACTTAACACATTATAAAACTTTTAATGATTTTCATATCCCTTATGGGTGGTGTATGATTTGCAGCATGCACTTGATGAAATCACCTATATGAGTGTCAAGTGGGGCCGCTTGCATGAGATCTTGGCAAGATCTTTAAAGTACTCATGAATACCGGGCACGCGCATGACCTAGTAGCGCAAAACAGCAATAATGACAAGAATTGTAGGGGTGTAATATGATTGATAAAATTGCTAATATACATTAAGTGTTTTGGTTCATATAGCTTGCTACACCAATCTCATTGTATGTTAAGTATTATCAATCTAGGACTGGTTCATATAGTTTGCTACACCAGGTCCAATGTATTACAGCCAATATGAGAACTCATTTTCTTTTCTTTATCTCTCATTTTTAATGCAATCAAAAATAAAGTATTTTTGTTTGAAATATGTGGGATTGTTGTACATATATGATATTCCAAAAGAAAATGAGATCCGAAAATATTTTTATTTTGATTACATTAAATTATTAAGGAAACCTTATTTGAAAATGACAGTTTTTCACATTTCAAATTCAAATTTGATTCTGTCATTAATATCTTACCGTTACAAATTTGGATTAATTTTCTTTTAATTACCGAATTAATTTCCTTTAATTACTAGATTTATTTTCTTTAATTGCCAGATTAATTACGTGCTTTTTTAGGGTTTTTGAGACTCTATAAATAGAAGCCTCCGGTACACTATTTTCTCACCACAAAACTCATTTCTCTCTTCCTTCTTTATGAGTTCTCAAATTTTCTAATTGCCAATTCTGCTCCTCAATTTCTTGAGACGACCTTGTTGTATCCTGGGGGGCTTGCGCGTATCCCGCGAATAAGTCCTCAAGATCAGTGTCATCACACGCCTCAAGAGAATTTTACTAACGTTTGTTCAGTGTTTTAGGTTACTCATAGTTGCGTCCGCAATTTTATACAACACAAACCACATTCATTGTATACTAATATCGTCTTCCTCACTCCCCAATGACCATTTATTAATCTCGTTTGGAATGGAAAAAAGTATTTAGTCATCCTCAAATATACATGTCATGTTCATGATCATAACTAATGTTAATATATAAATAAAATTAATAACAATTGATTTTGCGCAAACATTATAAGAGGTAGAATTAAGACAACTTAATAATTTTCCTTATCAGGGTTAATTGTTTCATAAGTATCAAGGATCGTGTCTCATGTGGTTTTTTTTTTCCTTTGAATTCATTGGATGATTATATATTTATTCAGATTGGTGCGTCCACCACAACACAATAACATTTTGTGCTTATTTTTTCCCTTGGCAAATTAAAAAAAGAAAATAGTAGCATGTCTTTCCATAACTGGATCCTGGACCAGTAGTTGTTTATGTTGGTATCCTTTTACAATTGATTTGTATCCCTTTATGTGTACGTTGACACAAATCCAACAATGCTACATGGGTGGGTCTTTTCTCGAGTAAAGAAAGTTTTAGTTTGCTAAGAATTTGGGAATATATTCTTAGTGCTTGGTTACCTAAGCTACCTAGCTAGTGCTCGACCTAGGATTCACAAAAATTTAAATAATAAACTATCAATCCATTACTAGTACATGCTCATTAATTTGTGGTTATCAGCATACATGCCCAATATCAATGGAATGTTTAATCATCAAATCAAATTTAAATATATGTCACGGTTAGCTACGTGCGTGGTCTATGCACTTATAACTGTTTTCCTTAATTACTTTACAGTGTTATAATTGGTGTTATCAAATTAAAATAGTAACAATAAATAAAGCAGTAGTGGATACTTTCTGGGAGTGAAGTGTGACGACCCATTTTGCTTACCTTAGCAATTCAATTCTTTTAGCTACAACATGCTTTTGTTTGCCTCACTTTGGTTATACAAAGAATAAAAACTTATATATGTAGAATATGTTAGTAGGACCAATACAATATGTTTTTCTTTTCTGGGCTAGACGAGATATCGCACTCGATTTTTCTTTTTGGCTGATTCTTAACATAAACCTTTTCAATTAACATGCATGTAGATTCTCTCCTAAAATTTAATTAGGATATACTAAAACTAACTTTTACAAAATTAAACTTCTTATATTTCAAAGCATTAAAGTATATCATAATTACTTCAAAAATTTAATTTCAGATGTTATCTTATTAATAACGTAGACATCTTCGCATTAAGATTTCATGTATTAAGACTAAACTACTTTTATTATAATTTATTAGTATATAAAAGAATCTTATAAATTAATACACAACTAAAGGATAGGGATAGCTGTCATCGTTAAGGTATAAGAAAAAGTTATTGTTAAATTATCCCTAAAATTGAATATCCCGCTAAGCAAAATCTGATAAATATTTATTAGAAGAGAAACGTTTCACATATTTGGGTGCTTTCCTTTAAATATTATGTTTCATGTGGATTCCATTTCAATAGGATGACATCATACAAATCTGAAAGGTGTTGATGGCCTACTTGCCTTTTATTTTTCATCTATACTAATATATTAAAAAATATATTTTTTTTAATAACTACCTTTGATCTTCATATTTAATAAATTATTTTTTGTTATTAATAAAAATTTAAAAATATTTTTATCAAATTTAATATCTAAATTCAAATTTTTAAAAATTTAAAAACTAATTGCAACACCAACAAATATTAATTATTTAATTAATTATTTTATTACTTAATAAGTATGAAATGTCCCAACTTTATTAATATATAATAATATGAAACAAAACATATGAGGCATTAAAATCAAAATTGGGTTTCTTGTTTAACATGGTTTTCTTACTAGACCCGGATCCCCAAACTCTTGGAGTCTCCCACCAAGTCCTAGATTAATTATATTTTACAAATCCAGTTTATTCAACGAAGTAGGTTGGACATAAGTTTATAGTTGTTAACAATCTTATGTTATGGGGATATAATTAGTATAATTCTCATTATCATAGTATAAGATTTATTCAATTATTTTAGTACTTATAATATAGGGTTATTATTTTGATTATGTAGGCATAGAATTTTGGATGTAGAAATATGATTGGACGAAGGTAGCTGGGCTAATGTGAAAGAAGTGAAAAGATAGATTTAGTTGAGAGGCGTTATCTTTAAGAAGAAATTTGGTCAGCCAAGGTAACCAAACCAGCAGAGAAAATAAATTATTAAATTGAACGAATGCATAAATGGAACATTCATGGGGTCTCTTCTTAAACCTACTTTTCTCATCAATTTAATCACTCTCTTACCTATTTTAATATTTTGCCATCACCTACAGTTTTTTTTTTCTTTTTTTTTTTTAATGAACTAAATGGCTGAACTCTTAAATTTGGTACCAACCAACTACTACCATGGCTTTTCAATTTAAAACTCCAACGTAATGTTATTTTATTGGTGAATTTAGGTTTAACACGTACTCTGATTAAATTAGTTTTTTTTTTCCCCTGTTTGAAGATAGTAGTACCTGATCTAGCCATGTTAAAATAAAAAAATTTAAAAAGTTTAATTTGATTAAAAAGCTAGCACTTATTTGCCTATTTTACAAATAGAGTAAAATTGCATCGCAATTATTTATATGCATTTCGGTCTTATATATAGAGAGACAGTAATATTTTTACATAAAACTTTAAATGCATTCATAAATGATGACAAATTAGTCAATTAATATAATAAACGAGTTTAATGAAAATATAATGACAAAATAAATACTATTATGTATAACATATGTAAAGATATTTATATTTTTTTTAAGATGATTTTACTCTTAAATTTTTACATTTATAATAAGAATAATTTAATAAAATTTAACAGAAATAACTAACTTTTTTAACATACATAAAATTAATTTTTTTTTCTTTTTATAATAAAAAGGAGAGGAAGTATTTTTCGATCAAATACGTTTTACCATATCACTTAATTAGTTTCGCCTATCTACGTTGTAATTCAACCATTTGGATATGTCCAAGAGAATAAATCTGTTTTTGTGATATTGCATTATTATCACTTATTTACTGCCAGGTCATGTCATTTCTACATCTTAAGTGATGAAAAATAATATACAAACTAGACGTCTTAGTAACGTCGTTGTATACTTAATTAACAAGGAAAGCGATTATTAATAGGGAAAATTTAATGGTTGTCCTTGTTGTAGTAATTAAGAAAATAAAAGTTAAATATTTCAAAATATTTTTTATACTAAAATTACAAATAATTATTCAATATTTATTTTTAATATACTTAATAATAAGGCCTGTAATAAATGTTAACAATATATTTATTTTATGAACAGGCAAAATTTATATATACATTATTAAATTTCACTTTTCATTGAGTCACATCGAATTCTTTTAATAATGGGAAATATGTGAAAAATATATGATTAATTATTGCCTTAAATTCAAATCTTATCACCGTGATTATATACTTAAAAAACAAAAGCGAATGTACGAGCATATTAATTAAGTAAATAAAAATAAAACTATTTTTAAATATTTTTAAGCAGAGGTATTTTTTTTAATAAAAATATAATTTATTAATTATTTAAATGGTTAAAGAATTGTAAAAGGAATTGAATTTTAGGCAGCCAGCATGATTGTTAAGTTAATGCAGTTGGATAGAAAATATGAAGGACATAGGAAATATCACATAGAACAAGGCAGAGGAAGAGGCCCCGTGTCCTTTCCGCGAGCATAGCAATAAATATGAGGTCTTAATGAATCGAAGGACACATCTTTGGTGTCTTGATTAGAAATTAGAATCCCATGAAAACCCTTGTCTGGTTGGACACTAGTTCTACTATAGTTTGGTGGGAGTTAGGCAAAGAAACAGGTAGACTTTATTATGGCACCCTTCTAGTTGAAGTTGTGACAAATCACATTAACATACATACCCACCCCCACCTCTGTTCTCTAACGTAATTCATTAAACCCTTCAAAACCCATCATTCATTTTCAGATATCAGTCCCTTTCTCCCTCTTCTTTACTCAAGCACGCCATAAAGATACAAGCACAACCCCAGTTGTGATTGAACTTTAGATCAATTCATGGGGACCCCACTTGCCTCCTAACTTCTTTTTCTTTAGTTTTATATACTTGTTATTTTCTTTTCTTCAACAACAATTATCTTTCTCTCATCACTAAGTCCATCCTAATAAGTTTTTATTGTTTTGTTTGCATTTTCAATTCATTGATCGGTGGGTATGTGAATGCATTAATTTGTGCAATTATACTAACAGGCTAACACATCCCACGTGGCTCATATATTTCCTAGATTTCATCTTATTCCCAGCATCATGTGATTAAACAGGCTATATTGGTTTTAAATTTGGATCCACCATGCCTCCTTTTGGTGTCATCATCATTGTGATCTAACCAATATCATGCTTTCCTTCTCTCAAACACCTCGCCATCAATCACTTAACAGCTGCCTCCCACTGCCCGTACATATTGTGGGAATTCACTGTGTGTAGATGCTGGCTAACACATTTTTAAGGAGCTCCCTTCATCATTGTTTTGGGTTCAATGTGGAAAGTGCTTTAACTAACCAGCTGTGAAGCCTTGTCGGTTGTGTAGTTTACACAACTCCTTCACTCAAAGCACTGCATTAAGTCCTTCCATTGGTGGATCTTTTTTTTTTCTTTTCCCCTTTAATAGGAAATCATTGGTATGAGTTTCAGCATTGCTGATCTTTCTGCCAATATCTGTTGGTGTTAGACTTGGACCCTTTTTATATAAACCTTCAATTACAATGCTTTACTTCCTTATATCTTTTGTCTCATTTCTCATCCTTTCCAAGTCCTTTACCGGTAAGCCTCTCTCATCAGGGGAGGGTGGGACCAAACTAGGGGCAATTGGGTTTTTGGGGAGCCTTTCAAGTTGGTTAATTTCTAGGCTCAGGAAAGGGAGCACAAGCACCCCTTGTAGTTTTTTTCAGTTTTTTCTTGGCATGTCATTGAAAAAGAAGAGTTTGGTGTCTAAGGTGGAGAATGAGGAAGAGGAAGGGAAGGTTTCTCTCTTGGATTTGCCTGATTTGCCATTGGAGTCTATCCTCGAGCACCTTTCACCATCTGAATTATGCAGTGTGGCAAGAGTGTGCACATCTCTGAGGGATAGATGTAGAAGTGATCATTTATGGAAGAAACACATGGAGAGGAAATGGCGTAAGGTGTTTGGTGATGCTGCTTATAGCCAATGGAAATGGCATGTAGCTTCCATGAACAGAGAGAAGATCTCCAACCAGCAAAATCCGAAAGGAATATTTGCTTTCATTCATGGTGGTTTTCTTCCCTTTCTATGGATCAAAGCAAAATCAGAAAAGGCCACAACACAGTCAAGTAGCTCATTACCAGAAGATTCAATCGGGGCACTATATTTTTCTCTTGAGAGTGGCAAATTTTGGTTCCCAGCTCAAGTCTATAACCGTGAGGTAATTAGTTGCACATAATCTGATTTATGTCTTCTTTAAGTCCAAATGAATAAATACCAATATTCTGCATAATGATTCTTCTTTTTGGGATTTGGTATAATTGTTTCACACTTTCCTTTTTCAGAATGGTCATGCTGGGTTCATGCTCTCATGTTATGATGCTCAACTTTGTTATGACTCGAGATCTGACACTTTTCTGGCAAGGTATGTGGAAAGGTCTTCTCTGTCTATCTGTCCTACTGCCCCCTCAAGTCATACAAAAATCTTAGCAGCATAACCTCTTATACGATGGCTTTCTTTTCCTAAATTTTTAAGGAATTGTGCTCCATTAGTTAAGAAAATCCATTTGAATGATTGGAACCTGATCCAATTTTAAGTCCAGTGCATTTTTCATTTAATTTATTCATACATTTTAACAAATAAGTTGTCAAAAACTAATTATTAAAAACGTTTTTTCTTATGATAAAAAAAATTGTCAATTCAAATAGAAGGATTATAAAACGATGTCATTACACAGATCATGTTTATAATTTTTTTTTATTTTCTCATTAAATAATATTTTAGTACTTAAAAAAATTTCTTGAATTTGTCAAGTTGCAAATTTTTATTAATCGAAATTTGATTGAGTTATTAAAGATTTAAATTTTTTTTGCAACTTATATAAATTAAATTTATTAAAAAAATGTATTTACATGTTCTCCGGGATAACTTTATTATAGTTTTTGATGAAAATTTTCCATAAAAAAAAAAAAAAAAAATCCTTGAGAGATTGGTTAGCAATACCCAAATTTTGAAGGTTGATAAGTCCAATTTTTGTGGCAGGTACTCACCTCATGGGAGATGGACAACTGAGGAAAACATAAAATGGGATCGGTTGAGGGTGCCACCAATTGCCTCTTCTCCACATGCCCTTCATATCTCTGACTGTTTGGATGAATTGAGACCTGGAGATCACATTGAGATCCAGTGGAGAAGAAACAAAGAGTTTCCTTATGGTATGTCTTAATTCCATCCTTGTGCACCATGTTTCTGACTTGGGCTAATTTCTAAATTAACTCCACCAAAAATGCCTTTATCATACTTTGTCAAAAACAAAAATTAATAGTTAATACTAATTTGATCATGATATGTATATTGGACTATCTTGATGTAATAATTTTTGGGGTTTTATTTTAGGTTGGTGGTATGGTGTCATTGGTCATTTGGAACAATGTCAAGGACATGGGAACCATTGCCATTGTCACCACAATGGTAAGGGAATCAGTCCACTTGTACATTTTAATATTACTCCCCACCCTCTCTTCCTTTTTTTAAAATCTAGTTTTCATTGTATTGTAACTTGTAGTAAACAGAATTGAACAACTTTCCAAATATTTTTCTGAAGTCCATGTGATTGTGCTACTTGCTAAACAATGTTTTAGGCGTTTCACTAACAAAAGTGAAGTGTTGTTGACAGACATGGTGATTTTGGAGTTCACACAGTACACTGCTGGATCCAGATGGAGACAAGCTGTGATAAATAGGAAGCATCATAGAGAAAAAGGCAATGAAATAGATGGTTTTTATGGGGGAATCAGGAAGTTGCATAGCCAGGAAGAAATTACAAGGTGGAAGAATCTGTGGCCAACCAAAATCGTGGAATAGCTTGATTCATTTTAGAGCTTAGAATTTTTGTAACTTAAGCAGATACACTTCCTAAAATGTGAAGGACTAGTTTGTCAAAGAACAATGTCATTCCTAACAACAGGTATAAACTTCGAAAGAGTGCATGAATGAATTTTCTGAGGCTGTGACATGTGTGCCACGACATAAAAAATAGTGTAAAATGTAAATGCCGCATTACCATGGTTGCTCATCGTGTTAGTTTATAAAATCATTATCATCTCCTTGTAATTTGATGGGACCAAGAACGATAAGCATGTCTTGTCCTGTCTCTTGAATCCTAATCATAAATCAAGAGTGACAGATAGTGCACTACCAAATTAGTTAGGCATGATAATTGTATAGTATATGTCTGAGGTTGAGTTTGAGGGAGATAGAGATTTTAAACCTAATCACAACAATATTGGGGTTGAAATAATCTGTTAAAAAAAAAGGAAGAAGAAAGCCACCTCACCTTTTATTTCCCCTGAATTCAATGTATTTATGTATACTTTAAAATAAATCATATATTCACATAGCAAGTAAATTGTTATTCAAATATATTATATAAAAAATAATAGATGACAATTTTTTTAATATTTATCTATTTTAACTATATACTATTATAATTTCAATTATTTAACTGTTATAATAATTAACTTATATTTTCAATAATTATAACAAATGAGGTTATGAGAATAAATTTCTAACTATAAGTATGTCTGTGTATAATCTTGATTGATGCATGTTCGAATCTAAGAGAGGAAGGTAGTTGTATCATAAATATGGCTTCGCCTGCATTTTTACAAAACAGAACAATTTGGACCTGAACTCAATCAAAATAGACTCTTTTCATCAAATTTGAGTTAAGATTAAATGGGTATCACAAGATCAAATTTATTGTCATGCCTAAAGTCAAATTAACTTCTTTCTATTCATAAAATTATTAACCTTGTCCTTAAGTAATAATATTATTAATACTACTATAATATATATATATATATAAAAAAACATGATTGTGAGAGGGTATTCCATTAAAAGTAAATTAGCTAGGTTCTCCAATTAAAACTTGTCATTATTTTGTATTGATAACATCGTTATCTAAAATAATATATGAATAATTTGACTTAATTTTTTTTATTAATACAATTAGATTTTTTAGTAAAATAAAATATAACTAAAAATTACACATATTAATGTATGTTTATTGTAATGACCCGCCTAGCCGTCACACAACAAACATTACCACACAGAATAGAGTATGCATATTAAAGAGTAATTATATATACATAAGTCTAGCCTAGGGCTCAACAAGTCAGTATCCAAAACTACAAAATAGCCACACCAAGTAGTCCATAAACAAAAAGTCAGCTCTTGTTATCACCTGTAGCCTTGTTACTACACTCCAGCCTATCCCTGCTCTGCTCTCATACACAGTATGATCATTGCAGTCCAACCCACATGGAAACATACAAGGGTAAGCTAGTGAAAAGAATCAGCATATAATTAAATTATAAACAGCTTTCAACTTATCAGCACATCATCACTCTCAACAGATTTAACATACAACACATAACAGCATACAACTATATTATAGTTACACATATACAACTCATATCAATCAGCAAAATCAACATCAAACAGCTTATGCGTCGTCATGCATTTCAACTCGGAGATCTCCTACAACATGGGTGAGCAGTATAAGTGACTAGGTCCTACCGAACCGACAACAAAGAACCTTTTTGGATTTGCTAGGTAAACAACAAATTTGGATATCAATTCACAACTTCACGATTTCTCAGACTTTGCCACTTAAACAAGGAAGTATAGTACTATGTCAAGATAGAACAGCTGGGTTTTAGGCCTACCACGACATTAGCTAGCTTAACTAAGCCACCTATGGAATTAGCCTACCGACTATCCTCCAAATACCACAACCTTCCGATACTTAGTTAGGAACTAAGTTCCCGACTTCGTACTTTACTCAATTGGCCGCTTGTAATCGGTATAACTCGACCTGGCCCCTATACCGTGGTCGCTTTGTACACGTGTGCCTCAACCTTGCCCACACACGGGACCAACTAATTACTAGAGGAGAACAACACAATGACCACTCCAAGGAACAACTTCCCAAGGAGGGTTTTCAACAAATTGGGCTGTGAGAGCACCACAGCTTCCTCAATCCACACAATGGGATGAACAACTTCAAAAACATCTCCTCTAGTCCTAGTGATCAACAGCTCACATTCAACAACACAACTCAACAATTTAAACAGCATGTTCAACATTCAGCACAGCTCAACTTAACAGCATTAACAGCCAGCTCAGCTTAACATCATTAATCAGCATAAACAACATACAACACAGCTCATCTTAACATCATTAATCAGCATAAACAACATTCAGCATTTTCAGAGTTATAGGGTAAGACATCTCCACGCCCAACGCAATAGGATTTGCGCCCAGCCTGGACCCAACCCGAGAGCTCTAAAGCTCTTACACACCTGACGCAATTCCAATTATGCCCAACGCAATTAGGAGGTAGAGACTCCCAGGAGTCTCCCAAGCCCAGCGTACCAAACTCACGTTTGGCGCAAGTAAGGCAGAGACCTCATCAAGGTCTCACACCCGGGGCGCTCATTCTGCGCCCGACGCCACCCTAGGTAGAGACCCTCATGGAGTCTCGACGCCCGACGAAATCTAATCACGCCCGGCAAGATCTAATCACGCCCAGCGAGATCTAATCACGCCCAACGCCATGCCAGTAACTCAACTCTTTGAGTCCCTATCTGATATCACGTCTAGTGCGGTTCTCCCCACGCCTGGCGTGAGCCATCCATGGACTTCCATTCCCAAGCTCACCTGGTGCAACTAACCTTGCGCCCGACGTGCTTGAACAATGAAGCTCTCTGATGGACACACGCCCGGTGCCAAGAACTACGCTCGACACAATTTCAAACAGTAACCCTCACCATTTCGAAAATTTCACGCAAAACTTGCAAAATCAGTCAACTCAAACACATGCAATCCATCAAATGAACTACATTTACAACATGCAACTCAAAAGCCATCTCTTTTTCAACATGAAACCATCAAACACATAAGCATCCCCATTTTCCCAATTTTCCCAAAACCCCGAAAACAAAGAACTCTCCAATCCAACCATCAATCTTCTAAAATCATGCAACATTTGAGTTCCCACACTCATTTACAACCAATCCGCACGAAAACTAACTTCCCTTACCTCGGAGAAGAAGAATCTGAACTCCCGGAGAAGAGGAGGAGAAGAAGATAAATGGAAAGAGGAGTCAGAGCTCTCAGCTACTGAGCACCTACGATCACAACAGTCACCATAAGGAGGTTTGAGAAAAGGAAAAAGAGAATGAGAGGAAATGAGAGTGAAGAGAGAAAAGGGAAGTGAGTAAGAAAAGAGTTTGGGTGTTGCGGGTCTCACACCTATTAATTAGATGAATAACATCATACTAATACAATATATATTTTATTTTACTAAATGTGACATACACTTAGATATAAATAAAATGTTAAAATATAACAAATAATAGATATTAATTTGATAGGACAATCAAAATTTTGTATTTCTAAAATTAGAGAAATTAAATGCTTCTATTTTCAAATAAAAGGACAAAAATTACAAAGTGATGAAATAGATAAATTAAAAATACAATGTAACCAACAAAATAATATTTTACTAAAATTTATAATAAATTATATGTACAAATAAATGATATGTTTGAATGTATGAATCATGTTTCAAATTTGTATAAATAGATATTTTAAAGCTATAAATTATATTATAAAATTATGATAAATAATTTATATTATAAAAGTTATTATTTTTATTTATCAATAAGAAATTAGATAAGAAATTAAAAAAATTCTAAAAATTCTTTCCTTGAAGTCTGAAAACACTCTTGTAAAAGGTACATATTTGTATTTAATATATAGGTATCGATTATTTATCCTAAATATGAAATATACTTTATATATTCAAAAATATTTATTTATTCAAATTTAAAATATATATATTTTAATATAATATTTATTTTAAATTCTAATTATATAATAAATATTTAATGCACATACTAAATACGCATTTTTGTTTATTTATTGTTTGTATTTGTCTAAACTTTTTTTTTTAATTTTAAAAATAAGTAGTTTTCTATTTTTTTTAAGAAACAATTCCTATCTGTTTGTAAAGTAAATTTTTTTAAAAACACTTGTTTAGAAGTTTGAACAAAAGGATCCAATATCATTTCTTCTAATTATAAGCAACTCCAGTATTGTAGCCGTTAAATATTTATTATATATAACAAAAAATTATAATAAATTGTATAAACAAATAAATAATCTATTTGAATATATACATATATATATATATATATATATATAGTTAAATAATTTAAATCATATAAGTTATATTTTAAATTTAGATGAGTTATTTATATT